ATCATATAAAGCACAAAATGAATTCCTAAATTAATAGACCATGCACATGTTAAATGATCACTCCACTTGCTCAATGTTATGGTAGCATAATAATAAATATTTATAGTGGCACTCTACTTAGTATTGGTTTACTGGTGATTCTATAGCTGTTCATAAATGTTTTCTGCACCCGCAGGTCAACGGTTTTGCAAGCCAAGTTTTTCTGATTTACTGTTGTATGGTCAAGCCGAAAAGTGCTTCTTCACAGAGATTCAAATGGTGTTGATGTTTGAAACTATGAGTTCCATGGAGCAAGGCTGAAATAATTTATCAAGTTAGCTACATATTCCACTCAAAATGCTATGTCAGATTTAAAAAAAAAAAATTGTTGATGCTTGGGTTCTTGGGTTGTGAATCTATGTTGACCAATGTGGACTTTAGTAGGAGGGACAACAGATGTTTCAACGCCTATTCCTTGAAACTTAACATAAGGCTGAGCTTCAGAGCCTTAAAAGAATAACAGATCTGAAATAATTCATGGCAGTGGAATTACTGATATTTAAACAGATGTCACTTTTCTTTAGCAAATGGAAATTGAGGTGCAGATGGTGAGGGCTGTTATGTTTCAGAGTAGCCATTGTAGATTACAAATCTACATTTGGAAAATTAAATATCACCAAACATATAATGATATCCATATTTTTTCCCAGCTGAAATGAAGAGAAGCTTACTTTAGTCTCCTGGCTCCTGGTTACCTAGAGAGATAGTGAATATTTCTCAGGTCACTTTGTTCCATTTCCTTTTAATGAAATACAGGAAGAATTCCCCTATTTCTAGGTACAGAAGCATTGTTAATTATCATATTAGAAAATATCAATTGTAAAGAAAATAGTGAATATTCGTACCTCCATATCAAGAACCTTATGGAAAATAGCTTGGGCTAAGCACTCCCGGATATATTTTTGGTGATCCCGCTTCATGATATTTAGTTTGTATTCTTTTTCAGAAAGTATTCTTCCACTTCTTGTGATCTGTCATGAATAAACAAAACATACATAGAAATACGAGGTAGAAAATATGTTGTTAGTTACCTAAAAAGGAAGGCAGGGAGAGAAGAGAAAAAGAGGGAGAGAGAGGTAAAAGGGGGAGAGGGAGAGAGAGAAGGAAAAAGCAGAATTATCTTCCAAACCTAAAGGAGTATGTACTACGGTTGGTAAATTTTCATTTTTAATGAATATTTCATAAGGCAAAAAAGAGAAAGGCAGTCTTATACACCCATCAGTGTGAAAACACACACAGGTGGTGCACTTGACGTTTAAAACAAGGTTTTCATTAGAGCAACAATTTTCCCTTGATGGAACCCAGGTGTTCTTTTCATTTCTCTTTTTGAACATATTCTGGGAAGAAAGGGGTGGTGTCCTGTCTAGAAACAATGAACATGAACAGTGATCGCAGGACAGATGATCTCACAGGAAATAACTTTGAAGGGCAAAACATGCAAGCAACAGAGGATCTCATCAGTTTGCTTTAAAAATAATTTGTTTCATTACTTTGCTTTCCCACTGATTTTTTTTCTTCCACTCTCCAGCCCAGAATGTAATTTAATTTGTTGTGATTCAAAATTTTATAAATTATGCAGCATTATAGATAGAAGATACTCAATACTGGTCTTAATTGGCATCAGTGCAAGACTCAGAAGTGACAGTTTCTGTTTTTATTTACTTATTTTTCTTTTCTTTTAATCCTTCTTATGGACATAGTTGTATTTTTCTATATCTCCTGTAAACAAACGGTATTATCCTCTCTGAGTGGTTCATCTTCTTTTCCACTTATTTAAGCCTGGCTCTTTATAAAGCTACACAACTATGCCAGTTGTCAAGTAAGGCAAATCAAAACTAAAGCCAAAATGTTTCATTATTTTAGTTAGACTAAGTTTCTATTTGTATTGTCAGGGTTAGGGCTCAGACCCTTCAAATCCATTGTATAGACTGGGTCATCAGACCCGTCACATGCCAGCCTGGGTCACCAGACCCCTCACACGCAGGTCCACGCTAGGTAATTGGGAAAAGATCCCGGGAGCTGCTGGCAGACAACACGAGCTCAGCCCTCAGCAATGGCAGCAGCCATTTCCAGGTCCAGCGGTGGCGGTGGCCTCACAGAGGGTCCTGGGGTCCCTGGCAGCAACAGCCTCCAGCAGCAGTAGTGACCTCCCCATGCCCCCCCCCCGGGGGGGCATTCCGGGGGTTGGAGGTTCCATGGATCAGAGCCACTCATCCTTTATACTTAAGTCCATAACCCAGGACACCAGGGTACACATGTGCAATTACATTAGACAATAACAAAGGAAGGCCTGGGCGCACGTGCATATTTACATCAAATGTTCGGCAAGATTCTGAACATCTGAGGAGCCCTGACTATTTTCCTATATTTTCCCAACAGTCCACCCCTTCAGGGTCCCTCACCATACAGTCTGCATGTGCAGAATCTTCCGTGATGTTCCCTTAGCAAGGATAACTGACCCTTGCATTCACACATTACACATTCCATCCTAACAGTCCCAAGAGTCTTTTGCTTGCTATATCATCAACTCAAAAGTTCAAAGTCTCATCTGAGACCAAAGGCAAAACTCCTTTCAGCTGTGAACCTGTGAAGAGTCAAAAACAAATTTATCTGTTTCCAAGATACAGTGGGACAGACATTGGGTACACATTCCTATTCCAAAAGGGAGGAATTGACAAAAATAGGGCTCAAATCCAAAACCCAAACAGGGCAAACAGTAAGCACACTGGGGCATCTGGACCCGCATAGTATTGGGTAGCCTCACTCCTACAGCTCCACCAGGTGCAACCCATTGAGCTGCCCTGGTGCCTGTGGCTTTTCCAAGCCCTCATTGTATACTGCCAGCAGCCCCACAGTTCTGGGTTCCTGGTGGCAGTCCTGCTGTCCTGGCTCCACTAGACATTTCCCCAGTGGGGGCTCTCTATGGGGCTCTGACCCTACTTTTCTGCTCCACATTGCTCCATAAATGACCTCCACAGCAGCTCCACCCCTGCAGCAGGTCTCTGCCTGAGTCCCCAGGCTTTTCATACATCTTCTGAAGTCTGTGTGGAGGCTGCCACGGCTCCACTGCTCTCACATACTGCTGGCCTGCAAACTTAACACAACGTGAACACCACCAAGATTTTCGGCTTTTGCTCTCTAGAGCTTCTGCACGAATCACACTTGGCACCACCCAAGGCAGGGCTGCTCCAGTCAGAGCAGCTGGGATGCAGGGAGCAAGTTCCCAAGGGCAGTGGTGCCCCAGGTCTGTCCTCCAGAGAAACTCAGTTCTACTAGGCCTCTGTGATAGGAGGGGTGCCCTCCCAAACTTCTGAAATGCCCTCAGGGCCTCTCTCATTGTCTTGGCTATTAGCATCTAGCTGCCCCATCCCAGCTCCTGAAATTACTTGAATCATCTCGGCTTACACCAGCTATTCACTTACAGTCTTGGGCAGTTCGGCAGTGTTCACCCACACAGTTCAAACAACTGCATTTGCCCAGTCCATCAAGGAGTGGCTGCCCTGCCCCTGGCATATCTGCAGCTATTCTGTAACCACTTCCACAGAGACCGGTGCATGGTAATGGAGGCTAACTTTTCTACTTTTTCACCAAATGAAAGCATACTTGAAATTCTTCAGGGGCACCTGTCCTTGGATCATCTGCACATCTGCATGTGGCACTCTTCTTGGGTTTATATGGCACCTGTCAAGCCATCAGTTTTAAGTGGCACCCCCCAAGCCATTTGCCTTCAGACAAATGTGGCATTTACTACATCATCTCCAGAGCATGTTACACCATCCACCCCTAGGTCCCATAGCTGCAGCAGCCAGGGGCTCTCCCTGCTTCTGTTGTTTTGTTTCCCCAAGCCAACCAATTTGACCTGGGTAGATGGGACATAGGCAGTGATTGGGTCACCTGTGGGATGTCTGCCAGTCTTCTCACTCCCATAGGCTGCTTGTGCTTCACTTTCTGATAAGCAGGTTGTGCAAGGAGAAGCACAGTCTCACCCAACTCACCATCATGTTCAACATAACATCTTTGGTGTCAGAAGCAGGGATGATCCATTGCTGTACTTCAGCGAGGACATGTACTCACACTTCCAACCTGTCTGCTTTCTGCTGCAAGTCTCAAAACTGTGCTGCTTCATGGGGTTTCTGGTCCATGTTGGCTCACAGTACAGTGAACAATAGCCAGACCCCAGTCAATAGGAAAGCGACCACCGGGCACCACATATCCAAGGGTAGCCACATTTCCTCCTCCTCCCAAGGGGCTTTCTGCTTCTTTACCTGCTTAGCATCCTACTCAAGATGCCAATTGCCAGGCTCTTTTACCTGCCCAGAATCCTGCCATGACTACACCAATTGTAAAGCTACACAACTACACCAGTTGTCAAGTAAGGCAAATCATAACTAAAGCCAAAATGTTTCATTACATTAGTTAGACTAAGTTTCTATTTGTATTGTCAGGGCTAGGGCTCAGACCCTGCAAACCCATTGTATAGACTGGGTCACCAGACCCCTCACATGCCAGCCTGGGTCACCAGACCCCTCACATGCAGGTCCACACTAGGTAATTGGGAAAAGATCCCGGGAGCCATTGGCAGATGACACAAGCCCAGTCCTCAGCAATGGCAGCAGCTGCTTACAGGCCCAACGGTGGTGGTGGCCTCACAGAGGGTCTGGGCAGACAATTTTCATTCTACAATTCTTTTCTTCTTCACTTTACAATTGATGAAGTTGGGGCTGAAACAGCTTACAGCAAGAGCCTCCAGCAGCAGTAGTGGCCTCCCCATGGCTCCCCCGGGGGATCCTGGGCGGGGGTGGGGGGGCACCGTGGATCAGAGCCACTCATCCTTTATACTTAAGTCCATAATCCAGGACATGTGGGTGCACATGCGCAATTACTTTAGACAACAACCAAGGTGCACATTTACATCAAATGCTCGGCAAGATTCTGAACATCTGAGGGGCCCTGACCATTTTCCTATGTTTTCCCAACACTCTTCTTTTTGGATTTAATACAAACCACATATTTTTTCTAAATTTTGTTCTTACTTTTGCTGACTGTAGTTTTTTAACATTGTTGTTACAACATATTGGAGTGTTGCGAGCAAATAGACTTGTGCTACAAGTGATTGGTTATTGACAGTCTTTTTTATATAAATATTTTGTCCAGTAGAAGAAAGGCGTTTGGTTATAGAAAGTTTGCTTGGAATTAAAAAATAACCCAATTGCAGTTTTTGAAATGTGTTGTCCATGGGATATCTTGTCACATGTGTTGATTTGGGAGAAAATGTCAGAAATGTCCTGATTGCCACTCCTTTGGCAGTTAACGTTTTGTTATTTCTCCTCTGGGATCAAGTCTCACTTATCTCCCCAACTGGATGGGAAAATGCAATAGGGCAGAGATTCTTAAACTGAAGGCTGCATCAGAATCACCTGGACAACTTGTTGAAAAATAGATAGGTGGGCCCCACCCCAAAGCTTCTGGTTCAGCAGGGCTGAAGTAGGGCTCCAGCCTTTGCACTCCCTGACAAGTTCCCACGTGACACAGAACACTGCTGGTTGAGGGGCTATATTTGAACCACTGTTCTAGAGAAAGGGCTGTATCTTCCTTATTTGAACTGCCATGCACATACTCAGTGTTCAATAAGTGCTTGTTAATGATGTTAATAAGTAAATACAAATTCCTTCCCATTTATATATGAGCTCACAGGCTGTTATCCAAAGAAGCGACCTTAATACATAATAACAACAATAATCACAACAATCATTCATTGCACATCTCTAACTGCCACAAAAAACCCGAGGGCAGAGTATCATTATCTTCATTTTACAACTGATGAAGTTGGGGCTGAAAAAGTCAAGGAAGTGATTTGCTCAAGTTTCTATGTCTTGTAATAGCAGAGTCAGGTTTCAGCCAGGTCTGTCTTATAACAAAGCCCCAGGAGACCAAGCTCTCAGATCTATCCAGCTAGAATGCCAAGCACATAACAACAATTAGAAATGCAATGCATGTCCTTTCAACACCATGGCAACACTAGTTAAGGAAATCCACTGTGTTTTAAGAAGGTAAACAACTAACAGTTTCCATAACCACACCCTTTTCTTTCAGTGGAAAACTACAGTATTTTTTAATACTATAAGGTTTTCCCATTATATATATATAGGAAAAGTTCAAGGAAAAATGTTCAACTCTTCATGTGTTCACCATATTCTGTGATTATTAAAAACAATATTTTTTTCTGAAAACAGTGAAGTCTTCTATATGCTCCATGCCTAACAGTTTCTGACTCATAGAATGTTTTCAATAAATGTGTTGAATGAATGAATGAATGAATGAATAAATGAAATCTGCCATTGGAAACTCACAGGGACTTTTCCTCAATAACTTACAGTTTTCCTTAGCAGTCGTTGTGATCTCTCTTCCCATTTTTTTGAAACAGTCTCAAATAGATAATCAAAATTTTGGAAAGAAGGTAATTTTTCTAAAGTGAGGGGTGAGGCAGGGGGAGGGGGAGATGTCACTAATTAGCTCAAAAAGAAAACCTGAAAAGGTAGGGAATTGCTGGACTTAATAAGAGGGTGGGTGAAAAGTAAACCAAATCTTACCAGCCCTGATTTTAAGAGATGCTGCCTTATCCTTGTGTTGTTGAAATATCCAGCCAGGTGTTTATCCGTAAGGCTATTATATGCCGCAAGTAATCTGAAACAGAAAAATGAAACCATTAAGGATTTACGAAGTATTGCTTGATAACCAAGGCAATTCTTGACTTTCTCATCCCTAAACTGTTATAGGGAAAATATAGGAAAATGGTCAGGGATCCCTCAAGGGTTTGGAGTCTTGCCCAGTATTTGATGTAAATACACACATGTGCCCAAGTGTTCCTTGGTTATTGTCTAATGTAATTGTGCATGTGTGTCCAGGTGTTCCTGGGTTGTCTGACTGTGTCCAGGTGTTCCTGGGTTGTCTGACTGTACCCAGTGTCCTGGGTTATTGGACTTAAGTATAAAGGATGAGTGGCTCTGATCCCCATGGCCTCCCACCCCAGGGGTGCCACAGGGAGGCCACTACAGATGCCAGAGGCTGTTGCTGCCAGGGCCCTGGGGATGCCCCGAGAGGCCACCACTGGTGCTGATGCAGCTCCTGCTGCTGAGGAAGATGAGGACTGAGCTCATGTTGTCTTCCAATGGCTCCCAAGATCTTTCTCAATTACCTAGCTTGTGAACCTGCATGTGATGGATCTGGTGACCCAGCCAGGCATGTGAGAGGCCTGTGACCCAATCTGTACAATGGGTTTGAAGGGTTTGAGGGCCCTAACCCTAACAATACAATTGGCTACATTGGCAGGATTCCGACAATTAGCCTAGCAATGCAACTGCGCATAATAATTCACCCATCCAGCCAGCCAGTCATTCGTGTATATGTTGAATAAACATGTACTGAGCATCCACTGTTTTCTAGGGGAAAGACAGTCCTGACTTTGATTATCCCACAGACAACTATGGAAATCAGATATAAACAACTAAATTGGATGTGAAAAGTTCAATAATAGGAATATGCAAAAAGTCATGAGAACACAGAGGAGACCTCAGCTCCAGTTGTTGGAAAAGGCTTCACAGAGGAGACCTGATAGAAAAGTGGGGCTACTTCAGAAGACTCTTCATTACATACTTCATTACATACTCTAAACTATGCTCTCCCTCAACATATTCTCTCATGTCGTCAGGAAGCAACACAGTCCCTCTACTGTGAAGGCTCTTCCCCAGCTGTCAGTTAGTGGATAACACCCACAATGCACAGGCATCTCTTCTCCCAGGAACCATTCCTGATAGGCACTGGGTGTGCTGTTACCTCCCACTCCACCTCCATAAGCCCCTGAGTTACATCCCACATCACACAACATGTGATCATTCAGCTCTCGGTCTCCTGTGCTAGATCTGAAGGCCAGTGTGAAGGTTAATTCCAGGCGTCAACTTGATTAGATGAAGGAATGCCAAGAAACCCGGTAAAGCTATCTTTTTAGGTGTGCCCATGCGGGGGTTTCCAGCAGAGATGAGCATGACAGCCTGAGTGGACTGGGTGGGAAAGACCTACCCTCAATGTGGGTGCAGAACCATTCAATCCCCTGTGGGCTTGGAGAGAACAAAAGATAGAGAAAAAGGTGAAGCTCTGTCTACCCTTTTCTATCTATCTTCTCTCCTGTCCGTGGACATCAGAGCTCGAGACTCTTCAGCTTTGGGTTCCAGGACTTATACCAAGGACACCATCAGCTTCCTGGTTTTGAGGCCTTTGGACTTGGTCTGAGCCACACTACCAGCATCCAGTTTGCAGATGACCTGTTGTGGGACTTTTCTTCACAGTCATGTGAGTTAATTCCCCTAATAAATCCACTCTCGTGTATTTATAACATATCCTATTGATTCTGCCTCTCTGGAGAACCCTGACTAATACAGCCAGGATGGTGCATTATTCTTGACATCCTTATTTATGTTATTTGTTATGTACCTAAATAATAATGTGTCTAGTAAATGAAGACGTAGGGTTAGGCCAATTGTCAGAATCCTGAAGACATAACCAATTGTATTGCTAGGGCTAAAGCTAGGGTTCACAGACCCTTCAAACTTGTTGTATAGGGGTCACCAGACTTCTCACACACAGGTCCACGAGCTAGGTAATTGGGAAAGATCCTGAGAGCTGTTGGCAGATGACACAAGCTCAGTCTTCAGCTTCCTCAGCAGCAGCAGCTACAGCAGCACCAGCAGTGGCCTCTCAGGGCATCCCAGGGTCCCTGGCAGCAACAGCCTCTGGCATCAGTAATGGCCTCCCCGTGGCCCCCCAGGTGTATCCCAGGGGCAGGGTCCCTGTGGATCAGAGCCGTTCATCCTTTATACTTAAGTCTGAGAACCCAGGACACCTGGGTGCGAGTCAGACAACCCAGGAACACCTACGTGCCCATGCACATCTATGCACATCTACAGACAATACCCAAGGAACACCTGGGTGCACATACACAGTTACATATTTACATCAAATACTCGGCAAGATTCCGAACATCCAAGGGAGCCCTGACCATTTTCCTACATTTTCCCTACAGAAGACAATTTTGTCTGGGACTTATTTTTACTTTTCACTGGTAGAAGTATCTAAGTTTAAGCTCAGCATTTTTGAAGTGTTAACTTCCTTATGTATACATAGACAATTTCCCTAATTCCACATCCAGTACTAAAAAAAAAAAATCATAGACGACCTTTGATTTTTAGGGTCTTTTAAGAATTAAAAGAGAACAAATTGATTCCTTGATTACATGCCTTATTACATTAGTAAAAGGTCAATCTAAGTCTATAAACCAAAGTTGGAAATTATTTTTCCTATTTTAACCTATCCTTAATCTGTATCTTACAAAAATATACACACACATATATACATGTATGTATAACTGTGCATGTACATATACATTCATTTATTTACATAAATGTTAGTATATATGTATATAGAGACAGAGGCAGAGAAAGAGAACAGCAAGCCTACACAGAGCCCTAAAGTAGTCTGTAAAAACATGCATACTCTATTACCTGCCACAAAGATTTACAATCTGTACATTTTATGAGCAGCTGATCCTTAACTTATCCCTAGATCAAGGCAGAGACTCATAGAATCGGGTAAATGTCATTAGCAACAATTTTATTTAGCTGTTTGCACTGCCGTAATTACATGGAGATGGTATTGGTGACCTTCTCCTGTCTCTTTTCTCCTTAACAGCCTGAAGCCGGAAAGTTCCATGCTGTCAAATGGTAAGGAAAGTTTAATTTTGTTCACAAAAGAGACTGAAAAGCAGTTACAAAGCCCAGAAGCCAAGGTGCCGCATGAGGGTTGCAGACATATGAACAACTGCGGAAACCATTATTTCGCTGGGTTTATGTAAAAAGACAACCCAAGAGCTTCAGTAAGGCACACACAAAACCAGCTCCGGATATGCTTTGAAAACATCTTTTAAATGAACTGTCTTGGTGTCCTATAGTTCATCAAAGGTTTCCTGTCTCCAAAAGGTCAACATTGTATCCCTTACCCTTTCTGAATCTCAGAATATCTTTTCAGCTCCTCATTTCAGAAAGGTGAGCAGGTGTCTCTCAGTCCTAACAATCATGATTCCACAGTTCACAGATTCTTAAGATAAATCATTAGAGTGATATCATAGATAGTCTTTTGTCTGTTTTTCAGGCTCCATTTAAAAAAAAATAAAATAAAATCAATAGTTTTGGAATAGCTGGGAGTGCTAAAACCTTGATTAAATGAAGTGGGGTCAAAAAGTTGGAATAATATGAACTTCAACTTCCCTATTGACTGATAAAATATCCCCTTCTTTTAATCTCGGCTTTGTAACTTTTAAAATATCTAGGTCCTAATAAAAATGCTTAGCCAGCTTTGGCACCACCTAATTTTAATTCTGCTCTCTTAGGCTCCTACTAAATAAACATGTGTCAATAACACCCCCCCAGTCTTATAGAAAGGTCGAGTGGGTCCACTTGAGTTGAAACCTTTGCACACAGTTGTCTCACCTTTTCCTATTTAGGAATGAATGCAGGTCCCTGGGTGAGATGTCATTTGTAAAGCAACTCTTTTGACTATCATCTTACGACTGACCTTGGTAGAATAAAAAACAGTAGGGTCCACCCAGGCTCGGTTATTTCTTTTTCAAACAATTCCTGCAT